TATCAGCCTGGGGCCAGTGGTGTGGGAAGGTGACGGTGCATTCCTCAGGGTTTCCCCAATATTGCAGAATGCCAAAAGGTAGATCCCAGGAGCAGTCTAGCCCAGTGGTTAATAGTGTAGGCTCTGACGTTGGAATAGCGGGTTCTCACCCTGACCCCAGCATTCACCAGCTGTGTGACCTTGGTCAAGTTACATGACCTCTGTGTGACTCAGTATCCTCCTGTGAATATGGGGATTAGAGTATCTACCTCCTTGGGATGTTGAAAAGGGTAAAGGCAGGTGTGAAACTGTCCCTGGGTTGGGTGCAGATAGCTCTCCAAAGGCAGATATCTCTCCTAGTGTTCTTTAACAGAAATACCACAAGAGGATGGCTTTAACATAGAGATTTCATCAATATAACTGCCCCTAATCCATCTGATTACATCCTAGTGATAGAATTTACAACATATAGGGAAATCACATGAGATTACAGTACAATATCTCCCATATAATTCTGGGAATCATGACCTAGCCAAAATGATATCTCTCCAAAGGCAGGTTCTGTGGGAGGGGAAAGGGTACCAGCCAAGGAATCTGGGAGGCAGGCGAAACAGGGAATGGAAAGATAGTGGTTGCTGAGTAGGAGCAAGATCGTTGTTGGATGTGTGAAGTTGTCCATCTCTCCAGCTATCTGAGGGCCCATTCTTCTTCCAGCCTATGCATCGTGAATGACCAACTGTTTGTAAGGGACGCTGGCCCCATAGAGACCCAGGGTGCCTTCTCCACTCCAGTGCCCACACTCTCCTCCAGCTCTGTGCCCACCATCTCCCAGGAGCAGCAGGAAGTGGCCCAGGCGTTCTCCACACAGTCCGGCATGAACCACTAGTGGCCTCAGAAGTGAGTGCTGGGAGTGGGTGGGGATGAAGGTGAGCTGGGAGGAGCTGGGGAGTGAACAATGGGAACCCACAGGTAATTCTTTTTTCCTTCTTTACTTCACTCATTGTCACGTGGAACATGTTCCTCACTCAGTACATATTATGCTACCTAGTTGTTTTGAACAGGTGCACAGTATTTTCTGAATTCCATGGATTGCTGTTTCCGGAAAAATACATCATGCGTGTGTGTCCATATTGATATACTGTGTACAGGATGTGTATAAAAATTATTACTTATAAAAGTACATCACCATGCAGGTAAAAACGTCTGGAGATGACTCACTTGTGAGAGGCAGACATGTTCTTCTTTCCGTCAGGGCCCCCCTCCCTGGTGTATAAGATGCTGTCTTACTTATCTAGTGTTGCTTTAACAGAAATACGACAAGTGGATGGCTTTAACAAAGAGATTTCACCAATACAACTGCTGTTAATCCATCTTATTACATCATAGAGGTAGGATTTACAACACACGGGGAAATCACATCAGATTACAAAATGGTAGACAATCATACAATACTGGGAATCATGACCTGGCCAAACTGATACACACGTTTTTTGGGGGACACAATTCAATCCATGACATTCCACCCTTTGGCCCCCCAAAACTCACACCCTTGCAACCTGCAAAACATATTCACCCTATCATATCATAGCAAAAGTCTTAACTCCAAGTCGAAAATCCAAAAATTCCTCTTCATGTGCATAATTGTTACTTTGTTACCCGAATAGGGTCCATGCCCTGGAGCAGTCAAGCTAATAAATCATACTTCAAGTCAGAAAGAGTGAGAAAGTTTTAATTCAGGAAGTGTACACCGCCAGGGACACAGCAGCAACGCAGGATGTCCTTAGGGAGTCCCAAAAGGCATTTTTACATTAGAGTTTATATATGATTTTTACAAAGGTTAGAAGTGTTGTTACTCATTTCAAGATAATTACAGAGACCCTTTATCATACTAAAGAGATAAGGAACCAGACATTTCCTTATCTGGCTAAAGATATACATCTCTGACTTCTGGGCTCTAATCTTCCTGTGGGGGATCCTAAGTCATAAAACAAAGTCATTAACAAAGGTATGTGCTAAACAAAGCCATTAACAAAGGTACATGAAAAGGGAGAAGGCAAAGAAAAAAAGAAACTTATAGGCTCATCATGACGGTAGTTATGTCCAGCCCTCAGCTGCCCATTTTGAGAAGGAGAAAACATGCTGGGGAGTATTAGGGTCACAAAATCCAGAATACAAGCTATCTGCTTCCAAAGGTACAATGGTGCAACAGGCAGGCACAAGCTAGACATTTCCATTACAAATGGGAGAAAATGCAGGGAAAGAAGGCATAACAGGCACCAGGCAAGTTAGCAGAACACATTGTGTTAGCCCTCAAGGCTTGAAAATAATCCTCTGTTCTCTAAGACAATTTACACAATGCCCCTGCCCTCCAGACTCTAGGTATTGGCCACACTCTCCAGATTCTGAGTGGAGGCCCCTTGGCCCTGGGCTTCAGCTCCACCTTCCAGGCCCACTGGGAGAGCAACTCTGTTCCCTTGGCTTTAGGCGGCCCCATTCTCCCAGTCCATCTGAGTGGTGACTCCACCCTTAGAAACACCAGAGACCATGGCTCCACCCTTTGAAACCCCAGAGGTCATGGCCATACCTTTGAAGACTGAGGCAGCTTGGCTTCTTGTGTTCCTTGTCTCTTCAGCTTCTGCTTCCCGTGGCCTCTCGGGCCTCACGCCCACATCTGCCCTGCTGGGGCAAGTGTTCCAAAGCTCTGTAGCGCCACCAATAAGTGTCCGGAGCCATCCTACTCTGCCAGGAAGCCTCTTGCACACAGGCACTCAGCTGTCTCGCTCTGTCGGTCAGCTCCAGGGCTGTCTGGCACTAGTCTCCCGCTTCTGCTGCTGCCGCTTCTCTGCTGCTGGTGGTCCTCCATCCATTCACAGTTTCAAAACTGCTTCCACATTTTAGGTATCTGTTAGAGCAGCACCTCACTCTCGGTACCAAATACTGTCTTAGTTATGTAGTGCTGCTTTAACAGAAATACCACAAGTGGATGGCTTTAACAAAGAGAAGTTTATTCTCTCACAGTCCAGTAGGCTGGAAGTCTGAATTCAGGGCACTGGCTTCAGGGGAAGGCTTTCTTTCTCTCTCTGAAGGAAAGTCCTTGTGAGGCATCCATCTTCCCTTGGTCTGGGAGTATCTCAGCAGGAACCTCAGGTCCAAAGTATGTGCTCTGCTCCCGGCAATGCTTTCTTGGTGGTATGGGTCCCTCTGTCTCTCTGCTCGCTTCTCTCTTTTATATCTCAAAAGAGAGTGGCTTAAGACACTATCTAATCTTGTAGATTTCATCAATATAACTGCCACTACTCTATCTTATTACATCATAGTGATAGAATTTACAACACACAGGGAAATCACATCAGATGACAAAATGGTGGACAATCACACAATATTGAGTATCATGGACTAGCCAAGTTGACACACATTTTTGGGGGATATAATTCAATCCATGACATTCCACACTTTGGCCCCCCAAAATTCATGTCCTTGCCTCTTGTAAAACAGATTCACCCCATCATATCATAGTAAAAGTCTTAATTCAATCCCAAGTCCAAAATCCAAAAATTCCTCTTCAATAAATCTGTGAAATGTAGAATACAAGTTATCTGCTTCCAAAGTACAACGGTGAAACAGGCACAAGCTAGACATTTCCATTACAAACGGGAGAAACTGGAGAGAAAGAAGGGATAACAGGCACCAAGCAAGTCAGCAGAACACATTACAATAGCCCTCAAGGCTTTGAAAATAATCCTCTGTTCTCTGAGACCATTTACACAATAGCCCTACTCTCCAGACTCGAGGTATTGGCCATACTCTCTGGATTTTGAGTGGAGGCCCCTTGGCCCTGGACTTCAGCTCCACCTTCCAGGCCCACTGGGAGAGCAACTCTGTTCCCTGGCATTTGAGTGGTCTCATTCTCGTAGTTCATCTGAGTGATGACTCCACCATTCGACACTGAGGCAGCTCTTCTTCCTATGCTTCTTGTCTCTTCAACTTCTGCTTCCTGGTTCCTTGGTCTCTTGGCCCCTCAGGCCTCACTGCTCACATCTGCCCTACTGGGGCAGGTGTTCCAAAGCTCTCTAGCTCCACTGATAAGTGCCTGGAGGCACCCCACTCTGCCAGTAAAGTATGGCAGGAAGGCACTCAGTTCTCTTTCTCCATGGGTTGGAAAACCTAGCTCCACCGATAAGTGCTCAGAGGCACCCCACTCTGCCAGGAAGCCTCCTGTGCAAAGGCACTCAACTCTCTCAATCCTTAGGTTGGCTCCAGTGCTGTCTTGTGCTGGTCTCCTGGTTCTGCTGCTGCTGGTTCTCTCCTGCTGCCAGTTCTCTGCTGCTTCCGGTTCTGTGCTGCTGCTTCTCGCTGTCTGCACCGTCTCCAGTGTGTAACAGCTCTCCTAACTTCCTTCTGAGTCCTCACCAGAATTGTCTTTGATGTCCATAATTACACCAATAGTCTCTTCAAGATAATCGAGGCTTTTACTATTGTCATTGTTGTTGTTAGGTGCTGTCAAGTCGGTTCCGACTCATAGTGACCCTATGCACCACAAAATGAAACACTGCC